TGCATTAGGTTTATTCTGTGCTAAAAACACAGGGGTACAGAGCTATGATGGTACTACATTTTCACTAAGCAACATTTTTTTCTTCAAACCAAGGTATTACATTGACTAGGCTATGCATTATTCCTAGAAAGTTCAAATAAAGAAACATAAACTAGCTTAAGAAAAGCTATAAATTTATTTTCTTTCTAAAAAGCCAGAATCACAAGAAGCACAATGCTCTGGAAAAAAAAAAATAAATCTGGTGGTATACTTCAAAAGTATGAGATTATGAGTAACTCCATGGTGGTACAAAGGAATGTAATTAAAGTCTGACTGTATGAAAATGTAATTTACCTGGGGATATTTCATACATCATATATACAAAATAAAAGGGTGTAGATTGGTGTTACGGGTTTGTGTGGCAAGGTTTCGGTAGCCAGGGGGCTATAGGGGTGGCTTCTGATAGAAGCTTTCCCCATGTCTGATAAAGCTAGTGCCAGCCAGCTCTAAGACGGACCTGCCACTGGCCAAGGCCAAGCCAATCGGTGACGGTGGTAGTGCCTCTGGGATAACATGTTTAAGAAGGGGAAGAAAAAAACAGCAGTGAAATGGCAGTGAAGAGAGAGGAGGGAGACGATGTGAGAGAAACACCTCTGCAGACACCAAGGTCAGTGAAGAAGGAGAGGGGAGGAGGTGCTTGAGACACTGGAGCAGAGAGTCTTCCCTTGCAGCTCGTGACGATGACCATGGTGAGGCAGGTTGACCCCCTGCGGTCCATGGAGGCCCATGGTGGAGCAGATATCCACTTGTAGCCCATGAAATGGACTCCACGCCAGCGCAGGTGGGTGCCTGAAGGAGGTTGTTACCCCGTGGGGAGCTCGCACTGGAGCAGGCTCCTGGCAGGACCTGTGGACCCGTGGAGAGAGGAGCCCATGCTGGGGCGGGGTTCGGACTTGTGACCCTGTGGGGGACCCACGCTGCAGCAGCCTGTGCCTGAAGGACTGCACCCCGTGGGAAGGACCCACGCTGGGGCAGTTCGTGAAGAGCTGCAGCCTGTGGGCAGGACTCACATTGGAGAAGTTTGTGGAGAACTGTCTCCCATGAGAGGGACCTCACGCTGGAGCAGGGGAAGAGTGTGAGGAATCCTCCCCTTGAGGGACAAGGAGCAGCAGAGACAGCGTGTAATGAACTGACTGCAACCCCAATTCCCCATCCTCCTGCGCCACTCACGGGGAGGAGGGACAGAAATGGGAGTGAAGTTGAGCCTGGGAAGAAGGGAAGGGTGGGGGGAAGGTGTTTAAAGGTCTGGTCTTATTTCTCACTATCCTACTCTGATTTGATTGGTGATGAATTAAACTCCCTTTTCTCCCCAGGTTCAGTCTGTTTTGTCAGTGATGGTAATTGGTGAGTGATCTCTCCCTGTCCTTGTCTTGACCCTCGAGCCTTTCATCATATTTCCTCTCCCCTGTGCAGCTGAGGATTGGGGGTGATAGAGCAGTTTTGGTGGGCACCTGGCATTTATCCAGGCCAAACCAAAACAATTAGGAAAGAGAGGTGGTCCTATTTTCTCACTCACGTAGCCCAACATTTACTTAGACCTTTTTTTCAGGTAGGATTTAAAAAACAAACAAAAAGATCTTTGGAAAGGTTCAATCTTATATTCCAGTGAATAAAAAAAAACAACCCACAAGATAAAGGAAATATTTGAAATTCTTTTTAAATCAATCAATCAATCAAGATTTGCTAGAGGTTGAACCTGCCACAGATTCCTACAGGACTAAGCATCGAGCCTCCCAATGCAGATCACATGGCCAGAGGGTACCAGCGATGCTCCAGACCAGCCAACCCTGCTTAGGCTGCTACCTAAGCTTAGTAACTTAAAAGAATGATTTATCAAATATGAAGAGCAAAGGTAGCAAAAAAACCAACTGACAGGAGTCAAAGATTCAGATTGGATAGGAACCCTGGTGATGCAAGCTGAAACTCAGAGTCATTGATGATGAGGAATGGCAGTGGGAAATCCGCATCAGGAAAGTGCAGAAAGGCAAAATTATGGGAGAAGTGAAGGGAACTCAAATTGTATCTGAAAATAAATGGTAATAGTGCAGGTAAGGAGACTGTAAATCATTAGGAAAGAAAACAGAAAGGGGACAGATTATGTATGAGAATTCAACTGAGACCAAGATCAAAGATTAAGGAATGATAACTGGATCAGAGACAAGGAAACACCGGCAGGCTAAAAATAGGATAAGATGACAGCAGATTAAAAGAGACAGGCAAAAGAAGAGTGGAAGTGAGAATAGAAGTAAAGCCTGCTCTTCCTAGAGTATACTTCTATCCTGAGCTGGAGTAGAACCCACGCAGCATTGCCAAGTATTTAAGGGCCAAGAAAACTACATTCCCTCTACTAAAATAATTGTTATTATTGTTGTAAGATTAAACTCTTCAAAGTTAGGAAATACCAGAATATAGATGCAACCTTCATCTGACATCCACCTGAAGAACTGTGAAACACACTTTGACGATATATCACATAATAGCTTTTTCCAGCTCATTAAATGTTTAGGGTCTTTGCAGCTCACTTTAGAAGCAGTGATTCAATATTTTGTTTCCAACTTTTAATTCAGTATCTGGATTGAAATATATTGCTCAAGCCTCCCACAAAGACAGGATCATTCATTTCCTCAAACCTGGCTACTGTATTCATCACTACAGTTTCTAAGGGTTTTACCGATACTTACAGAATAAATTTTACTGGCTGAGTAAAAGGTTATAATTTTATCCATTCTAATGGCAAAGAATAACTTAAGGTCAAAGCACTTACGAAACAAGGCATCAGTATGAGATATGGCAGATCTCATGCTGCAGAATACGTATTATAATGGAAGATCACATTCCATTTTGGAAGCACAGTTCTCACTGAGCCAAAAAACACCACCACATACTAACCGCTTCTGAAGTCCAACTTGCCTAGTGTTACACAGAAACTCTGTGACAGAGGCAGCGATGGTGTCCAGTTCTCCAGAAAAACATTCAATTGCTTAATCTCAATTGTCTTTTCATCTACTTCTAGGGTTGAATGAATAACAGAATATTCAGTCTGATGACTGAAATAGGGGAAAAAAAATCAGGGAAGGGAAAAAAAAATAAATCATAGAATCACAGAATGCTTTGGGTTGGAAGGAAGGGACCTTTAGAGGTCATCTAGCCAAACCCCCCTGCAGCAAGCAGGGACATCTTCAACTAGACAGAGCCCAAACCAACCTGGCCTTGAATTTTTGCAGGGATGGGGCCTCCACTACTTCTCTGGGAAACCTGTTCCCGTATTTCACCACCCTCATGGTAAAAAATGTCTTCCTTATATCTAGTCTAAGTCTACCCTCCCTTAGTTTAAAGCCAATGCTCCCTGTCCTACTGCAATAAGCCCTGCTGAAAATATTTCCCCCATCTTTCCTATAGGCTCCCCTTAAGTTTACTGGAAGGCTGCTATATGGTCTCCCTAGAGCCTACTCTTCTCCAGGCTGAACAGCCCAAACTCTCTTAGCCTGTCCTCATAGGAGAGGTGCTCCAGCCCTCTGATCACCTTCATGGCCCTCCTCTGGACCTGCTCCAACACATCCTTGTCCTTCTTAAGTTGGGGGCTCCAGAGCTGGACGCAGGACTCCAGGTGGGGCCTCACCAGAGCAGAAGGGCAGAATCACCTTCCTCGACCTGCTGGCCACGCTTCTATTGATGCAGCCTAGGACACGGTTGGCTTTCTGGGCTGCAAGTGCACATTGCTGGCTCATGTCAAGCTTTTCATTCCAAGTAATTCTCAGCAGAGCTCCTCTATATCCCCTCATCCCCCAGCCTGTATTGATAGTGCGGGTTGCCCCAACCCAGACGCAGGACCTTGCACTTGGCCTTGTTGAACTTCATGCGGTTCACGCAGGCCCAGCTCTCCAGCCTGTAAAGTTCCCTCTGAATGGCATCCCTTCCCTCCACTGGTCTCCACCTGGACATCGAGCCATTGACTGCAACTCTTTCACTGCGTCCATCGAGCCAGTTCCTTATCCAACGAGTGGTCCATCTGTCAAATCCATGTCCTTCCAATTTAGAGACAAGGGCATCATGCGTGACAGTATTGAATGCCTTGCACAAGTCCAGGAAGACGATGTCAGTTGCCTGCCCTTTGTCCACCAACGCTGTAACCCCATCATAGAAGGATACCAAGTTGGTCAGGCACGATTTGCCCTTGGTGAAGCCATGTTGGCTGTCCCCAGTAACCTCCTTGTTATCCACGTGCCTTAGCATGGTTTCAAGGAGGATCTGCTCCATCATCTTGTCAGGCACAGAGGTGAGGCTGACTGGCCTGTAGTTGCCTGGGTTTTCCTTTTTTCCCTTTTTAAAAATGGGGGTGATGTTGCCCCTTCTCCAGTCAATGGGGACCTCCCCAGACCACCACAAACTCTCATATATGATGGAGAGTGATCTGGCAACTTCGTCTGCCAGTTCCCTCAGGACCCGCGGGTGCATCTCATCAGGCCCCATGGACTTGTGCACCTTCAGGTTCCTTAGGCAGTCTCGAACCTGGTCTTCTCCTACAGTGGGCAGTTCTTCATTCTCCCAGTCCCGGCCTTTGCCTTCTGCAACTTGTTGTTGAAGACTGAGGCAAAAAAGTTGTTAAGCACCTCAGCTTTCTTCACATCCCGGGTAACCATATCTCCAGCTTCCTTCCGGAGAGGGCCCACATTTTCCCTAGTCTGCCTTCTATCACTGACATACCTATAGAAGGCTTCCTTGTTCCCTTTGACATCCCTGGCCAGATTTAATTCTCTCAGAGCTTTAGCTTTCCTGACTTGCTCCCTGGCTACTTGGACTATTTATCTGTATTTTTGCCAAGCTACGTATCCTTGTTTCCATGGATGGGTGCCTGTTTCCAAGCAGATCCGGATCTCCAGTGCAGATGCACAGGTACTTCAGAGCACTGTAATTTTTAAGTTGTTTCAAAATGGAGAGAATCACCTCAACCCAAACTCGGGCAATGTGCTAACCAAGGTAAAGTAAAAGGCCTACACAGGCTGAACTGTAAAGCAAAATCTTTCTTGGCATGAATCTCTGACAATGGGAAAGTAAAGACTGTGTTGAAATATGTTGACCTGAAACATCTGAATTCAAGTTATACTCATATCTCTAATCTTAGCATTTTCTGCCTTGTGACTGCTTACAATTTCCAGTCTCTACAATGTTCTCTCAACATTATTTTTTGCACATCTACAGCATCAAGTCAAGTCTATGCCTGTCTTGCTTTCTTATCAAACACTATAATCTTGTTTTTTAAAGTTACAATGTGTACTGTTTATAGAGAAGAACCGTCTCAAATGGGAATGGAAAAGGAACAGGGACATGTTAAAAGATGCAATGAATGTTATCCACATCCATCGTATTCCTTTGTGGAAAAAAAATCAGTAAGGACAAACTTCTGAAAGCTGTAGCAAGGGAGGTTAATCTCTGCTTCACAGAGAACTGCAATTACCTGTTGCAAATGCTGCAGGAAAAAAAAAAAATCTGGTTAAAGGCAAGTAATGGGTAGCAGAAGCACATAAGAATCTGTTCTAGATTTTGTTTTACTTTTGGACAGCCAAATCCTACACTGCCTACAGGATCAAAACACAGATTTAAGGTTTTAGCCTAGCTGTACATACATATACACGCCCCCCCCCCCCCCCCCTTATATTTATCATTAAAAAATGTTAGATCTCTGTGGAACAAGTTTAAAGGGATGTTCGCTACTTGGAGGATTTATCATGTAATTTAATTTGTGATTCAATAAGAATGAAAATACGATAGTGCAGGGTTAAAAGTACATACCGTCTTCATTAGGAGGACTGTGCTATTATTTGGCTTTAGAATGTGCACATCTCCCACTGATCATAAAGCAAGTTTTTGAATATTAAAGCAACTTTTCACACAGGTTGTAAAATCAGGGGTTTTCCAAGTATAAACATGTATCTTACCGGCACCATGTTAGTAAGGGGGGGAAAAAAGTGTTGCTGAAGAAATGAGATATAGGTATGTACCTGAGTGTTGGCATGCACTGCTATGCCTACACACACACAACTGTGCGAGTAAGGCCACAATGGGAATGTTCAGAATATAGAGCAAAACAGCATATGCAAGCAATAACTGCAGCATGGTCATCGAAAACACGTATTTGAGATGGCGATCGTGACAACTGGTGTTAGAAATCTGACATCAGCAAGAAAGCAGCAGAGACAACAAGGCCTTTGCAATAATACAGAACAACTGTGCCCGTTTCCTTCCAGAACACCTCAAAACCTGGGGCAGGAGGGGGGAAGGTGCACACACTGGCAGGAAGAGGCAGAAAGGCTTGCTATAAACAGACAGAAATCTTTGTTTGCTCAAAACACAGTGTTCTTCAGGAAATAAATCCAGTAGCGTCACAAAACAGGAAAGAATTATCATAAGTTCCTTGAATGATTTGTGAACAATTGAAATTCAAAAGAAGAAATAATTTGTTCTGCAGTGTTTTGTTTTTATGAGTAAGAATGACTACAGGAGGAAGAGACCAGCTAGCTGCCTTTTCTGCACATTTGTCACTGATGCTGTCTTATTCAACTGGCACACAGACGCTACGATACGTTACAGTCCCTGACCACAGGACTCCAGCAGATATTAACTGAACAAGCACCCAGTGCTCGTTAGAATATAAGACCACTGTCTCTATATGAACAAACAGACAACACATACTGCTCTTTCTGGACTGAGGACAGACTGCCCATCCCATATTAATTATGCGCTTTTCTGGCACAACGTGGGCAATGACAACCACTGCACTAAGGATATGCAAAGCATAGCTAGATGTTGCTGTTCTCCTGTAGACTGTTACAGTGTAATGTAAGTCAGGTTTCAAGAAAAACTGACAAAACTACCTCTAAGGCTAGTTTCAGTTGGCAGATGGTATTCAATACAAGCACAGCAGCACATTGAAAGGAATGTGCAATTAAAACACACACATCCATTTCTCCAATTTTTTTTTTATTGCTGCTGTGTAACCACATACCATGTTAACTGTGAAAAACTGCTAGACTACATGAAAAAAAAAACTAGATGAGGAAATAGGGTATCTGTGAGTATCTCAGAAATACAACAATTGCAAATATTCCATTTTTATGTGGTTTATTTCTGTTGAGTAAGCCAGTATTTAATAACAATCAATCTAATTAATTCTTAACTGCTCCAGAAGAGGAGGGGCTACTTGCATAGCATCATAGATTCACACCTGTATGCTTCCCAAGCTCTGCAAGAGTATCCTGGTACATGCTCAACATCTGATCACAGTGAGCAATAACACTTTTGCGCATGTTGTCCCAGTGAGGAGCAAGTTCTCCCAAGTCTTTAAGTTCCTGATTCCTGTATCAAAAGGCAAAAAGAGAAAGCACTAATTAACTCATTAATGCATTAACATTCATCCAAATTGATCCAATTAATCTAAACCCAGTTTGTTAAAAATCATCAAAAGCACTTCCTAATTGAAATAACATTAATTCTCATGACGCTTGTAAAATCTGCTGGTTTCAGCTCTGTTTTTCAGCTACACAATAAAGAATGTCAAATCAGTGACTAATACAGTAATTTGTGTTCAAAACTGATTTGGTACAAATGTAAACTCAAATACTATTTCAGTTTCACTAACAAAAGCCTGCAAACTCAAATACTATTTCTTGCCTGGAGGTAAGCAGGCTTCCAAGCTCCAGAGAGCTGTGTTCACAGCAAGTAACTTTTTGTGCAGAAATATTAAACACCTTTGTAAAGAACACAAAGTTTGCTCCTTTTCCAATGCTTGCAGAATAGCTGTTTTGATACACTCTACTCTTTGGATACTTTCATACACATCACAAACAGTTCTAGCAGTGTTTCTACAAATGTCAGTTTAACCAACACACCAGCCCTCACCACATTTCTTTGGTGTTAAAGACAAAATAAAACACACAAACCAAAAAAACCCATCGGTCCCCTAAAACTTAATCTTCAGCCTTACAGCTGTGTTCATCAGGTCAAAACAGCAGTGCTATGGTAACCAAACATGTCACTGAAAATCCAAAAGGAAATCCTTTAGCAAATTATCAATTTTCCTGTACACTCTTGAGAGCTGACCTGAGTGAAATAGAGATCACTTTCATTTCCTACACAAACAAGACTGGGCTTTCTGTTTGTTTTCCCCGCTTGCAAAGTAAGCTCGTCCTACATCTATCCCAGAGCCACTCTGGACGACCTGTTTTTAAAGAAAGAGAAAATGAAAGATCTCGAGTTTTCAAACACTTGGAGAAAACTTGTGCAACATGACAAACTAGTTTTCCTTATTTGCCTCAAACTAGCAAGCAGACTGTTTCACTGCAATTTTTGGAAGTGTCAGGAAAGACTTTCCAGAGGACAGTTCTTGCATACAGAAAAATCACTGAACAAAAAGGAAAAACAGGAGGAGAGGGGACAGAAAGGGGGAGAAAAAGACCAATGCGACTGCTGCACAGGTCAACCTGTTCAACCTCCCTCCATCGATGCAAACTGGCAATGCTGTAGCATAAGAATCGTCAGCAGTAAGCAGACAAAACCACCATTTTCAACCACCATCTTCCTTGCAAATTTTTAGCAGCTTACAAATGAGACATCCCATTAAATTAAAATCTCAGGGCTTCCTCCTAAGAAAAGCTTGTAAGATTTGGCAGGGTATACGATTTTATTTATTTGCAGTGAAGATATTTTGACCCTTAATATTTATGTTGTCTTTGTTAATAGTTTTAGGAACAATGTTTGGACCTGGCTGAGCTCCAGAACTTTACTGCTCCTGCTATACAGGAATACAGTACTCTGCAGAGACCGGAGAAATACTACACAGTGAGAGGTGGGCATATCAATATGCCACATTCAGAGCCCTCTATCCCACAGAAAACCCACCGTTGGGGCTCTGCTCTTCCACCCCTAAGACCACTCCTGGAGCTGCTGGCCCCATGCTCAAGCCAAGCAACAGCAGGAGTAGAAACCCCTTATCTCAGACTAAAATATCCAACCAAAAACCAAAACTGGTTTAACCGGCTGACTATGACTTAACTCCATTGACACCAACAGCAACAGGAAGGGAAAACTCAAATCCTACCACATTAACATGTTCTCAAGGAATGTCAAATCCTGCTCCTATTGTTGTTGACAAGGCTTGTATTTGTTTCATCTCAGAAACATGTATGCACCACTGAAGTCAAAATACAGCCACTAGTATGCCATAAAAAGACACATCTTATCTGCAATATTTTAATAAAGTTAGCATGCAGTTTTATAGTAGTCCAGAGCATATATAGAACGGAAACTTTACTACCTTTTCTAAATTTATTTTCATTTAAATATACAGTAAAATCAAAACCATGGGATAACAGGATTATATGTCATAGACACTATTCCTCCAAAAATAGCCTCTTGTACATTTTATATATTTTTTCAGATGTAAACATGTGAGACACAGGATTTCAATATTATTTGTGTCTTGTGACTTCCTACGATTTGTCACTGCTGTTGATGACTCAGTATAACTCTGAGTTATGGCTGAAAACACAATCATCTTTCCTATAGCTAAGCTCCATCAACAATATTCCATAGTACCAAGCTTTATTATAATTTTTGTGCAGGGCCTCTCATGAAAGTAAACAAACAGATGTCAGCTTTCACTGAGAACTTCCCATTATGGTTGGAAGCAGTTCCCCACTAGAAAAATTAAAATCTACTTGTTACCCTTTCCTCAAAACTCTTTTCTGCCACTATGGCAGAAAAATTCAGTACTGGATCCTGATCTGCTGAAAGCACTATATACAGCACTGATGGTTAGTATAAAGATTAATGATCATTGGTGCTAACACAACACAATTTTAAAGAGGTGAAAAATTCTAAGAATAAAACTTGAGACTTCTCAGGATCCCACAGCACCTTTGGAGATGTCATGAACCTTCATTTCAGGCTTCTATTTAAAAACCAACAACTTCTTTTGCCCGGAATGACTTACAGATTTTACACAGCTGCAATTCATGGGCACTTGGCCTTTTAGGGGACTTGAGCTTTACCCAGCCTTCCCCTGCTGATGGAAAGCACAGTCATTGTGCAAGCTGTTGGTGACAGGCAGGATGGTTTGGGAGGGCCTGTGTCTAGACTGAAGTATCTGTGCTTTTCTTTTCGAATAACTACATCAGGGCAACCAGTGATCTGTAAACACTACATGACTGGATACATTTCTGAGATTACTAGCAATTAAATACTGTTGCCATTAGACTTGAAGTAAAAGTACATGCATTTTTTTTTTTTGTTCCATGAAAATGTTCAATGAAGCTCAAATGAATATGCCACCTTTTGATTTATCAACTAGTGCTTTTATTTTTTTTTTTTTTATTCTTAAGAACACCTTAGCTGCATGACGTAGTAAATTACTAAAAGTACCTGGAAGAGGCACAAAGTATTTCCTGTATTACGCATGCTGATAATTTCTACTTAAAGAGTCTCTGCTTTGTGGTATGCACACTAATGACCGTAGTAACAGAAAAAGTCTCTTTGTCATCACTTTGGGTATGAGGATATAGGAACAGTTTAGAAGTCCAAAGGAAATATATTCAGTGATGAAAATGCAAAACACTGAATTCTGTAAGTAGTACTTTGAATGAGTGGTATGCATCATGTTCAGAAATTCTTTGAAGAAAGTCCTAATGCTGAAATCATGTCCCCAACAAACTTGCTTTTGCAAAACTACCACTAGCGTCAACAGTCCAGACACCATTGTGGAAAGCACAGTGAAAACCTCTGGTCAGTGACAATAAGATCAAAACAAAGAAAAAAACAGCAGCAAGATATTAAGATGAGCAAGATGAGTGAGAAGGGAGCATTCCCTCAAAGAATTTTTTTAGATTTGATTATTCTGTCTCAGAAAAGGGAAAAGCAGGAATAGCCGTTTGCATCATTATAGACACAGCTCAAATCTTCACAAACAGAAAGAAGAAGTTGAAAAGATCAGTGTAATTATATGAAGAGGAGATAATTAAGAGGACATATGATAAAAACACATAAACCACAAATGCTGTATGAAGAGAAAGTAATAATATTTGATTAATTCAGCTTCAAAAATCCCGTGATGCATTTCCCAGTGAAGCAAACATGACAAAACACTGAAAAAGGGAAGCGATTTTTGCCTCCACCAAGTAAAATTAGCTTCTGAAATCCACTTTCACTAAACATCAGAAGCAAACTGCCTAGCAGGATTCAAAACAAGATGAGGTATTTCTGCAGATTATATTTGCAGAAGTGTTATAATATTAGAAAGGTGAAAAAGTTCTGGATATTTATCAAACAGGAGCTTTGGAGTAAACACACACCATAAGCTTTAGGGCATGACTCAATAACTCAGCTTCCTTCTAAGGAAAGGAGCACAGGAATTATTTTTCCTAACAAATTTTACTTTAAACTGTACATGTTTATGGATAACCATTTCATCTTTTTTTTGTAGAATAGAAGCAGATAAAATTGCTCTCATTTCTCTTTACCACTAGTTATGGTCCTGCGATATGCAGGCAATAACTCATTAAAACAATATAACATTCTCTCCAGAAATAAAAGAATCACAGCCTTTTTACAATATTGTTTCTAAAATAGACAAATAATTACTAAGGAGCATTCAATTCCTTCAGGGGAAGCTACCACAAATATGAATAAAAGGACATTTTTCTTTCTTTCCTAATAGTTTTCATTTAGAAACTCTTGAAAACAGTTGCTGTTTTTCTCTTCTTACAGAATTTCCTGAAACTGCTTCAGGTTCTAGTAAACCTGACCTGACAGGTAATTAAAAACTAAAATGTAAGTTGCGCCTACCTTTTGAATGCTTTAAACATTTAACAAAAAAACAAACAAACCAAATCAAACACAACATCCCCCAAAACCAAGCCACCAAACACATTAAAAAATATTTTAAAAACTGTTTCTTCTATGTATATGTGGAGCAGAGACCAGAATTTGAAAAGGCTTAAGAATATTTTATACTGTTCGTAAGAGTTGCAGTTTTTAAGTTCCTTTTGCATTTCTATCCACCACTATCCCCTTTTTATTATCCAAAAGTGTAGACAATATACAAGCTAGATTAAACCCATGTCTTCCTTCCTGCCTTAAAACTCTTTCTCTTTCTTGGATATTTTATTATCTGAGTTTATCTCTGAAAGACTAAAGGTCTTCAAGCAGCATGATCATTTGAGGTTGATTCTATGATTCTCATTTAATAGCAGCGGATAATTCTCCCGCATCATGACTGCAAAGAGTTCCAAAGCCAGTAATACTCAGAATGGCATCTGTGGATTTTACACTTTAATCCTAAATTATATTTTAGTAACTAGCAATAGTGTATAGAATTGTTTTACATGTTTTTCTGTTAGCTTTTTTTTAAATTTTACTGTTTCATCAGGAAACACTGGAATCAGCCTAAGACAATGTTGGTTCAGCTCTATGATAAATCTAAAACATTTTACTTTCATAGTTTATAACTTCATTTCTTGCTTTTGGCTTGGAATTATATATGTGGCAAGATTATTCACATTATTAATTGCACAATTACTCAAGCATTTAAAAAGTTTTGTGGGTTTCTGTTTTCTGTTTTCCCCAATTTATTAATCAGTGCCTCACTCAAATGAAATAGTGAGGATCTTTATGACGAGCAACATAATAAAACTGTACCAAGCTTTTTTTAATCACCTTAATGCCTTACCACCTCTAATTTATATTCTCTGCATCCCCACTGACATGAACTGACAAAACTACACCCGACTTACTGTTATTAGAACCACAGGTAAGTACTGGTAAGTGCAAAATCTGTAGTTAAGAATGTAAATATCCAAATGCATTTTTGATGAGAGAATTTGAGTGTGTTAAAATAACTATAATCTTGAGAAAAAGATTATTCTTTGCTTTGGTTTGGTATTGTCCTTCACTTTAACTTGGAAGGCTCTAATAAAACCTCCAAGTTACATCATTTGCTTAGTATGGACTTCCTTAAGACCGGGGCGTGCTGTGCACAAACGTAACACCTGTAAATTTAAGCAGCCAGTCTCTGAGAAGCATTGCTGACTGGTACAGAATGATTTTTCTAGAGTCTCAAAACTTTGGTGGATTTTGCCGAAAACAACAAAAAACCCCTCACTGACAGGACAGTCAGCACTTAAGTTACTGTTTTCTAGTTTTCAGCACTGCTGAATAATAGGTAATGTTACGTAGTGGTTACTACCACAAAACAAATCAGGTAATGTTACTCCATTCCAACGCACTACAACTGCAAACATCCAATATCAAGTAAAGCCCAGCAAACTGTACTTCGTTAAGTCTGATACGACAACTCCTGTTTGATTTTCAGAAGCCATCTTTTCCAAAATTCGTTATGAATAGCGAAATCAAGAGGACATACATTAGAATGTATTTTATCCTTTAGTTTATAAACTAATGTTTTTTAAGCTGATCATGTTTGAAGGAGGGCAATTGTCTAAACACTACTGACAAAAATTCAGGTTACACTTACATTCATATACTTGCATTTCTCTGTGCAATAACTGATGAAGACTATGAAAAGAAAGGTTTTGTATCCTTTTTGATGCATAATGGGGTAAATACGGCATATGCATGTATTTGAGCTATGTTTTACTGACATGTTTGGGGATTATTTAAGTCTTGAAAACATTACTTCTTTGAACATTTGTGCTAGATAGTGACTTGAAGTAAGGTTTTGAAAGTCCTTAAGTGAACAGCATATTAACAGTGCCTGTCTAAATGTGGTTAGTTCAAACAGCTTCAAAAGTCATGGTAAGTTTACTCAGAATAACTTTTTTTACACTATTACCTCTAATCAATACAGTGATTTTGCAGTGCAATTGCTCAAAAATCTGTCATGTAAAAAATAATATTCAATGCCTGCTCCCAATATATGGCATTTCTGCCCGGGTCTCCACTTCTCTATACAAGTTGTGTATTAAAAGATAGTAGAAGATCATACATCTTTCAGACAGTCTGTACTTTGTTCTCATTCTGTAATGTTACAAGAAAGAAATCAGAAAACAGACAAACAGCATAGATTTGCACAAGAAAAGGCTACTAGAGTTGGGACAGCACAGCCATTCCTCATGCAGAAAGGAAGCCCGAGTGTGCTTTGTACTCTGGGGAGAGGGTTCAAGGAAAGTTCAGCAGTTTCTCCTTGAAATCTGTTCATGGGTTGTGACCATAAATGCCATGGTCCAAATTCAGCTGTAAGTAAGTGGAATTTCCTTTCAGCCAAAGCTGAGTTTGGTTCCAAGAGACTCAATAGAGCTTCAGTGGCAAATCTGAAAGACACGTGTACTGCTACTTCTACTACAGTCTCCTAATTCTCTTGCTGTGCTGATCTAGTGTGACGAAAGTTACATCTACAACTGCAAACTTAGATTACATGGGACAACCAACTTTCTGAACAATTACTGTAAACTACTAAGTCTTTTTTATAATCATTACATTCGAAGAACTACTTGATTAATCTTGCACAATAGATGTAAAATATCTGGACAAGATTTGTGTAAAGATATATTAAAAACAGGGGAAAGGACTCCATGGAAAACCTCGAGGAGGAAACAGAAATAATTTCTTAATAAAACCCAGCAAAGCAGACTGTATGACCCTTATTAGGACAATAAAAATGACCACATAGCTCCTATTAAAAATCCTTCCAGGAAGGTTTGAAGGATAAAATCTTTCATGCACGCATATCTTTAAAAACATTATTCCATGCTGAAAAACAAAGTGAAATATACTTAGAGGTTACATATTTCATAGTATCACATCAGTAAATGAAAAAGTTTGGTTAACAATGAACACTGTAGTTTTATCAAGAGATAAACAATCTTAAGAGCTATGAGAAAAGGGAATTTAAATTACAATTCAAAATCCAATATTAAATGGGATTAACACTTCACTTGGATATTGTTAATAGGTAATTGCTTCAGACCTGACTATATTTAAGCCACAATAGGAATAAAAAGAAACAGGCTGAGGATGATAAGAAGTGGTCTCTGAGACAAAAATATATATTTTTTTTAATACTAACTGGGGAAAAAAGATGCAGAGAAGATTACTTCCAGAGGAGAACAGCCTCAAAATGGTACAGTGTAAGTTTTGTATGAGTTCAAAAACTAACATAACAATATCCTCCTAACATCGTTTTACTACTTTATAAATGTAAGGAGTCCACAAGAGCACATATCTTTGCAATTATTTCAAAAAGCAAGGCCTACACCAAGCTGAAGCTCCAACCTACATGCTTATACCATGATGGGTGACACAGATGCCCCTATTCCCACCATCTGCTAGTATTCTGTCACAAGGTGTTGCTTTTCTTGGTTGGTCTTACCTCCTCCACCAGATTGATACAACCATTTTGTCTGTCTCTCTCTTACACCCACATTTTGTACTAGGCTTGAACAGCTAAACACTTTGCCAGTCAGGAAAATCAGAACGACTTGACTCAATCTTTGAGGAACTTTTACTTATGTTTCTTTCTCATAGCTTTTCTTTATTTTGGTAAGTACTGGATAATCATTAAAAAAAACAAACCACGGCGATTCTTTGCTATGGTTTTATCCAAGGAGGTGAATGCTGTATTATGAAATAACAGCAAGCGCTATTACTTGCATTATGCCTTTGAAGAGAGCAACGCAGTAGTAGTAAAAGTGGTTAAAGTAATCCCCTAACATTTAAAAGGCATTTACCCATGGGGCAAATGAAAATCTGGGAAGTGGATGAACTGTGCAAGTCAGCACAATCTATTTTTATTGCTTACTAAAAAAGCCTCACACATTAGTATTCTCAAACAAGATCAGGCCATAAATGCCTAAACACAGTATTAAATGAATAAAATAAAGTATTATAACAATTCATATGATTTTTATAACCCTTCATCACCATGCATAAGTATGTATCAGTCCATTGACTTTATTAAAAGCAAGATTCTGTTCTCCCACATGCTGTTCTATTGGCATAAAAAGATCATACAGAAGCAGCAGATGGGGTGAATAAAAAAAGAAAAGAATCTCCTATTGCAGGACAAACAACCCACTGTAAACAACCACAGGCAACCCCCTCTGATGGAAGGAGTTGCATGGAAGTGCACAGAATCGCTTTGGGATGCACACTAGCTCAGTGTGGCTCTTATACATGAGAACAGCTGCCCACCTAAGTGTGAGGCAACTTTCACAGGGGAAGAGGCAATATCTTCTTCTACACCATTCATTATCATTAGAAAAAGAAGGTATGCTTTCAGGAAAGCCCTGCTTAAAAGATTGCTTTTCTCTGCAGTTGTATCAACACAGTTTACAAGTATTCCAGGACAGGGTGTCATTTTAGTCGTTGCACTGGGAATTTGGACATACAAAGAATTCTGGGGCAGTTGTGCTCCCTATTCTCCTTTTTCCCAGGCAGTACATATTGTAATGATCCTCAGATGTCCCTCCTGGTTACAAGATCAAACATGGACAAAGGTTTCAAACTTCTGTTACTTTGGTATCCTTTTCTTATGCCAACTGCTTTACATTCGTTAGAGCAATGTGATCTGTATTTACATTGCTTCTTTATTGATGACAAACATGTCATTTTCCAGTGCTTGAATAATGTTTGTCTGCGATATCAACACTACCCAGACACGAAGCCAAACACACTACCAATGTAGTTCACGCCTTTGTCATGTATTATTTCTTTATAAATACAGCTTTTCAGAATATTTATAATGTTAACCAAATGTTGATGCTTACACATTTAAAATCACAACTGCATTTCTAGCACAGTTCATTGCTTTGAACTTCTGAAGTCACTGGAGTCCTAAAAAATCTTATCAATTCTGTTGTTTAGTTACAGCTGTAAATTCTTACTGGTCAAAAAGATCTCTGTATTTTGCCCATTTCATGCTACAAATTAATATTTCTAGCTTATTCCAACTCAGGAAAATAAAATTTACTATTTATTACTGCTACTTCTCCTTCCTTACCTTCTCATATCCTCCTTTATGTGCAAATTGATCAGTTCTTTAGGAACATGGAAAGAGAGGGTGGTCTCAGCCATCTGTTCCCGGATCCGCATCCACTTGTTGTCAGAAGTAGGGAATCTATATAGCTTACAGATCGGGTTTTTTAACACTGCAGAGAGGAAAAATTAAATCATTGCTTTACTGTGATTACATAACTCTCTGAAAATTTATGACAACAATTTCATCCAAAAATAATACGTTATTTCCCCCTTTGCTTCCAGAATTAATTTTGAAACCATTAAAATTTCATTAAAAACATTAAAACTTTTATTTAATTTATTACAGCAGCATGTGGAGGACAAAGTATTACTAGTACAGCAGACAAATCACATTTTACCCGCACAGTAGGTGTCCTATGAATGTAGCATTTCAGTGTAGTGAGAATGTAAATTTTGCTCTCTAGTCTCTCTCACTAAAGATACAGTTAGGAAAAACGGAATGCACAAATAAACAACAAACTCGCCTATAGTCAACGCCATCACTTACCATCTCCTAGAATCACCCACATTGCTAATAAATTGAACAGGGCAAGTGAAGCATGCCTCAGAGTTCAGCTGTATCTGATGCATCTTCTCCGTGATATGCACACACAGAAATCATTAACACAAACAGATGGTGTGCATCTACATTAAAGCAAACTTGCCCATTGACTTATTCTCACTTACTGTTACAAAATAAGCCTAATAGATACTTGATAGTCATGGCATATGAATACCAGCAATTTTTTTGTTTAGCACTAACATGCAAAATACCTCAATATTCTAGCATTTTTACACACATTTTACAGCTTCACCACACACACTTAACTTATTGTCCACTACAAAAAAAAAAGCATCTCCATGTCCTGTCCCTATGATCAACTTACAGCCAGTGTCTGGGCTTTATAACATTACTTGATGAGAATCTGCTGTAATGGTTTCCTATTTTCCCCCTCTTTTGCTGAGATTCTTCTAATTAACAAACTCAGTTTTATCAATAATATTGACAGTCTCTACCAGTCCACAAAGTAGATATATGGCACTGATCGCCTTCCATTAACGAGACGAGGATTGACAATCTTCAGATATCAAGGAGAGCTCAAGAAACTAGAGGCTAATTCAGGTCTGCCTTTACACAGAATCCTGCCAAAACAGATGATAATTTTGAGTTGTGGGTTTTTCCTTGTTTGGGGTTTAGGGGGGTTTTTGTTTGTTTTTTTGTTCTGATTTTTTTTGTGTCATGCCACCTGTTCACTAGGAAGCAGGCTAATCCTTTTCACCAGGGCATTTCAAGTGATGTCTGATGCCTCAGACACAAAAGGTTCTTTTCTCTATTGTACCTTTTTACATCTACTTCCTCAGAAGTTATCAAAGGATGTTTATTCCAACAATAGCCCTTAAATTTGCACTCAGAATCTATTACACTCAAAAATTCATATTTGTCTATGAGAACCTAATGCACATATGTAGCTCCACAATCTCTTTCGTCCCATCTCCCCACTATCGCCACCACCATCATGGGGAAAAAAACAAAACCAAACAAAAAAACCCAACAGGACTGCAGCATGACAGCCAGGGAGCAAGGAATCACTTTGAAAATGTGGAGCCAAATCTGTGGCTTTTATCTGTGTCAGAATTATTACACTACTCTTCAGGTACTACCTCCACTACCTGAATTTTTGATGGGGATAATCTCAAGTGTGTTGCAAGTTTTAAAAATCGTCCAAGACATTTCTCCATGGGTTTATGAAGAAAATTTCGTATAAAAACTCATAAAAAAGCCTGGGAATTTTGTTTTCACAAGGAATCAAAATAATTTCCATTTGCAGTATTGCTAAAGCTTGAGATTGTCAGCAAGAGCTCCACAATATTTTATGTTTCTCTTATAAACATAACTACTGAAGTCATGCAATTCCAGAAAAATCTCAGATGTATTTTCCTTTCCAATTACAACAATAATTGCTTTCTAATTTCAACAAGTTGCCTAAAAAAAGAAAAAAACCACCCAAACAGTAAGAATGGCAAGAATTACTGCCTTTTATAAGAAGTAGTTTTTAAAATGAAGGAAAGTTTCATAAAAGTAATCCTTCCTGTATTAGACAGTGATCATGAAGGGCACTAAAAAAATCCAGATGAACTGCAGTGGTTAAAAAGAGGAAAAAGCATTTTAAAAGCTTTTTTTTCTATAACATGAAACCTAAAAGCCAATGCCATACATTTAACCATCCACATTTTTGGACATTCTCATTTTTAAATTTAAAGACCTTTGTGCTTTTTATTCCATGCACTATCCTTCACACTGCTTCCCCTGAAAGTAAAATAAAAAAATTAATAAAAGATTGAACACTCTGATTTCGTTTTTGTTCCCAATTGAACATAGATCAAAGCATACCACTGCCATATACTAATTTACTAATAGTGTTTCTATTCTTCTTTCTATTCTTCCTTTGCAGCATAGCTGTATTATGCATATCATCTCAGGAAGAATAATTTCAACATTCTTAATTTTTTCTTAATTCCAATTACTTTTATTCTCTTTTTCATTGTAAAGCACAGTATGTTTACATGCAAAAAATTGGCAAACTCTCCAGTGTTATAAATAACTGAATTTTGAGACATATAAATTCAATCTCTTAGGGTATAAATGGAACAGTGATAAGCCTCTCTGAAATATGATACTCATTCCCACTCACTCAATAAGTGTCTCATAACTCACTTGAGGGATGCGAGTTCCTTCTATTAAGATTTAAATTTCAGAAGAATGGCAATGCGCATCTACGCCTACAGGCTTAAAGACTCATGTAGGGGTATTTTTTCAGTTTCGTAGTTTTGAAGGCCTGATGAACAACGTGAGACAGAAAGAACCAGAAATCTTTACAACAGTATACACACGCACTAAATATATATGTATCTGGAATATACATTGTAGCACAGATAGTTCTTGATATACACAGCAGGGAAAGTAGTGCAGGCAATGCTGATGTTTTCAGGTTGCCTGCAATATACCTCTACCACACTACCGATATTGTTCCTTTCCCTTCAGTCCTTGTTTTCAGGTTGCCTCCAATTTTGCCACACTGAAATCTGTTTGGCTTACATGGATTATTTTAAAGATTTTCAGTTAAGATAGTCCAGCTGCACTGAATAAGGCCCGAAATCTGCAACTGAAGGTTCTGTGCTTTATAAACTTGAATTCTGACAGTCTTTTACAGACATGTGCATTTTACCAGGTCTGTGGCAACCCACTCAGATCTGACAACGACATAAGCCTTGTGAAAGGAATCCAAGTACATAAAAAACTCAAAACTTGAACTTAACACCTCATATATGCACCAAGAGTCTACCTTTACTGAAAATTCTTGCATCTTTCCCAGCTTCTGATACCAACAAAACTGTGCAGGCGTTGTTAACACAGGGTGAATGAATACATTTTGGGGCAGAGCTAGTGCGTGTCACAACACGCTTAAGTGCAGCACTGGCACCCATGTGAGAAAGCCAATCTCTGGGCAACACAGAGAGCTTTGATCCACTTGAAGCCCAGTCATGGAGGCACGCTGATGAAGCAGTCTGACTGGTTGGGCTAAGAAGCTGAGAGTATAAAAGGAGAGCTAAAACTTTCTAAGCAAAGAAATTGGGAATTCAATAAAAAGAGTGGGACTGACAAAACCCGCAACTGGTGCCAGGTGTCAGCAGGGAAGTGGAGGCAATGCTGGGGTGAGAAGAGGAAGTCACAAGTACAGGAAACAGACTGAAGAATAACTCTTTATTAGAACAGACTTCCTGTGACTGAAAACTCTTTTCAGTATCCTGCCTGCTGTCATTTCTTGTATATGCATCTGCAGTTCTGCTCTTTTCCCTCAACTCTTTTCAAAAACAGAAAATGACAAAAAACCTCCATGGTATGCTTGACTTTACACACCCCAGCAGTGCTGGGTGGGGTGGGGGTTTAGGGGTTATGCTGTGTGTTTGTATATGATGGCAATAAATATAGAAATGTTAAGCGCTGTCCAGATACACCGTAGAATCACATCCAAATGCTCATGACAAAAGTGATTTAAACATCATTATTCATAAAACTGGTATCTACCTTGGAAGCTTCAACAGTTCCAATGAAGTACATTTGCCAGACTATAGCATTTCCCCATACAGAAAAACCCAACAAAAAAACCCCCAATCAAATCCACCCAACAGATGCAGCAAATTGAAAAAAATCAGTTGTGAATCAGTAACATTTCCTGTGAACAGAAATGTCATTTCTTCAAGACCCACTTATCTGGATGACATACAGAATCAGAATCAAAGAGTGGCTGCACCGAGTTAGACCAAATCGTTCAATTGGCTCTGTATCTTGTCTCCACGAAGAACCATAAATAGATACCTAGAGATGCAAGATACTCTCCCTGCCTCCAGCTATTTTCAGTTCAGGAATTTCTGGAGCCAGATGTAGTTCCCCTGCATTCAGTAATTCTCAATGAATATCTTTTCCACAAACATACCTAGTCTCGCACCAAAAAAATGAAAAGAAATGGCAGTTCTGAAGAAGTGTTTTCCCTGCTTCTGAACTAGTCTCAACAAATCACAGGAAAAAAAATATAGCAACATACAAGGAAAAACATGGTTTTTTGGAGGTTTCTAGGGCTTCCCTCAGACTGAGGAGCTAGTCTAATAAGTCGCCTGTCCTATCAGTGAAGTCATATGAAAAAGTTTCAGTAAAGGTTTTAAAAGGTTTCAAAACTTCAGTAACATTTCTCTTCAACTGCATGCAGCAAACGCACAGAATTCTTGACAGCACTGTGGTTTCAGATGACCCATATAACTTATTTGTGACATTGTTACAGCAGAGTAATGGAGATTCATAAACTCAGGCTAATAAAACTTTTACAGTGCAGAGTATCAGCATGTAATATTTCTCAGTACAATGAAAGAGAAATAGATCTATCCAACACTGTACACTCGAGACCAGAGCTGACCTAGAATCAAGAATGCCTTGCCAACAGCTTCCTTCATTCTAGGACATATAGCTTCCAGATCAAACTGAAATGGCCACTTCATCAGCTATGAGAGAGATTAATTCTCCAGGGTACTCAGTTGCAAATAACGCATAATCACTTTAACAGAATGTCATGCAATGACATGACAAAAACTTATGAGGTTAATTTCTATGCCCATTTAAGTCACTGACAGTCTGGAAAATCATTGAAGAGCAAAGATGTGGGAGTGGGAGATTTTAGTAGTGTTTCAGAAAGCATAACTGATGTTTCTGAAAGTTTTCCTCATGTTTCTCAGTAAAATGATGCTGTCAGATATGTATGAAACTTTAAAATATTAAACTTAAGAAACTGTTCATCACTTGAAGAGCCTTTTAAGAGCTCTACCCCAAATCTTCACAATTTCTTCAGGATCTGATACAGCATTGCAACAGTCATATTTTATGGATGTTACAGTACTTACCTGCATTTAATGAAGGCAAGTTGTCTTTACCACTTACGCCTTCTGTGGCTGTACATTCACGAACCAATGCACACTACAAAAGAAATGCAACTGCAGATGTAATACATTCCTGTGTTACAAGGAAATTCATAGCAGTTTATGAATGGCAGACTGAAGAACATCACTGATAATATAACCTTCCAACCCTTTATTATCATTTACTTTTTAATCTTCATATTTCTGTTCCAATATATTGTAACACAATCAGAAATACAGCAGAGAAAATGGCAAAATGTGATCAGCTATTCCATAATAAAACAGGTGTCCTACCAATACAATGCCAGAGGTTAAATTAATTTTTGACAAGTTCTCTGCTTCCAGAGAGGTTTTTTTTTTTGACAAGACAGTTTTCACGTGCACAGTGTCAGAAAGCACTCCATGAATTATTAAACAAGGGAAAAGCAGGAACCACAAAAAATCTTTAAAATGTGCTTGCGGTTTGTGATTGAAGTCATTTGTTATATGACTGAATTGGAAGATTTCCTTGATAAGACTAGTGTATCAAATAAAAGTACAAAAAGTTTATGGAAAAACCAACTGGTGTAAACCTACGTTAAGTGTACCAGAACGTATATTTTTAATGCTCCTCGTCCCTCCAGTCAGAAAAAAAAAAAAGAGATAGCCTTTAAAGGTGATAGGGAGCTCTGTTCTCAGGGCTTCCCCGGTTTATAGGTGTTCTGTTGCAGAGCTTGAACCAGAGGGCAAGACATGATGTACTCTCTACCAGTTGATAGCTATCAGATTGAATTTAACTATCACCTTACTATTCCATAAGGAATTCCCTGCACATAGTTTACCTAATGAGTTAGCAAACCGAATTCAGAACTTCTTTATCTGAAGTAATTCAATAACTCTACATTCTGACAATTGCATCCTCACTATGAAGGTATGAGCTAAGACACCGTGACGCAACACCATGATGCAACTAATCCATAAAAACCAAGGACTCCTTTAAAGACCACAGAAAATACAGCTGCCATAAGGATGGTCTTTCTTGACAAGTATCAGAACCCCCTAGGAAGATGCTATTAACGCCTTCAGACTCCCTCAAGCTAGACATACTTCACTGATTACACCTCAGATAATTGTGAGAAGTCTTGTTCCACATTTTGAAATTGAATAACAGCAAAATGAAAGAGAAGGCTGAAAAAACAGTTGCTATTGTGTATCTTGTGGAAGTTTTATAGTAATAAACCAGAAAGATTTGACAGCATTTGTTGGCTTCTTTGGAACTGGTCCCACTGGTCCACTGTTTTAAAAGGGTGTTGAGGTCCTTTCAGAAGACTGGTGAAAACAGAAGCGTAAAATCTATCCTCAGAGTTTGGCCCAAAAGCAGGCTGTTTTGGCTGAGCAGAAAACATATTCAGAATAACATCCTTTTCTCCAAAAACAAATTCTTATATGTTACTTCCAATCAAAAAAAAAAAATGCAGTCCTTAATTTTACATTACCTGTAGCTTTATTTAAAGTTGTTTTTTTCATGAAAAGCAGAATACATCACAGTGTATAGCAGTACACCATATTATTAGGGCTGCAAAAAATCTAGTGAGAACAGGGCTGCAGAGATACCAGGAGGCAGCAGCTCTGTGTAGGTATGTCAGTTACCATCAGTCAGGGACCCAGTTAAAGAGACCTTTTAACGCAAGTCATTCAAACCCCAATTTCCTCATTCTAAGCAGTCATTTCTGAATCTCTCCCAAGCCCAAACCTCCTGTCATCATAGAGATAGACCATCCATTTCACCCTCCCTCCTTTGGTTCTCCATTCCTCTCAAATTCACTCCCCTCGTATCACCTCCATCTCCATGGCTTTCGCCTGCAACAACCTCCCTACCTAAGAGAATTTTCACTCATTCCAAACCTTTCTGTCCTCCCTCTTGTTCCACACCATGAGCACCTCAACCCAGAATCCCTACCTACACCCTCCGGTCAACACTGTCCTATGCTAGCACTCTGAGGCATCATTGCTGCACCATCCCTCACACTGATTTTCCCAACCACTCTGCGCTCCCACAAAATGCAGCTGAACTTGTCCCTTTGCAAGGGGAATCACCTCTTCTTTGGCTTGCCTGTCTGTCATTCTTTCCAGGTTTTCAGTATTGTGGGCACAGGTTGCACATAAAAATCCACATGAACAGGACTTCAAAGGCAGAGGAACTGTCCAAGGGAAAAAGAAGTCAGATTTATGGTGTCTCTGTGGACAGTTTTTTGATCAGCAGTGATCAAATATGGTCAGTTGAGGTCAAAATCAGCTCTTTTTTTCCTAAAGAAGGGAGGGACTAGGAAACTGAGGATAGAGTATTACTCTGTACAGTTTCACAAAAAACTGTTTTTAGTTTAGGGGGATTAAATGTACATAGTACTTTATTCCAGAAATTTTTTGTTAAGTCCTTAACACCATTTGGAATTAGTGATTTAGGCATTTGGTACCGCTGATCATTCTAATTAACTTTGTGCAATGAACTCCATCTCTACCTTTTGATCCTGGGCTTCTGCTGTGATGTGGTCCGTTTCTCCATCCTCTAGCTCTCCCATCTTCACAAGATTGACTTCAATGGTACCAACTGTCTTTCCACCATCAGAAGTCCTGGTAAAAAAAAAAACCAAAAAACCATGACATTGGGTCACCTGCAGCATCGCATTCCTTCTGTAAAAATATTGTCAGTAAACATTTCGTCCCCTCTCCATTCTGTATAGCTGCAGCTACCTGTATTTAACTCTATTTACCATCATAAAGCAAATGTTAACAATGAGGGATATTGTATTTTCTCCAAATACTTTACAGCAATGAAATTTCTCATCATGAAACTGAGGATAGGTAAGTGGTAGAACTGGTGGAAGAATCCACAAACGTTGCCAAGTTTTCATTCTAGACATTATTGTGCCTGTGAACCATCAGAGAAAGGGGTGTAACATATTGCACCAACACCCCACTTCTGACCTGCAAACTCACTGCACAGTACACCGCTTTGTTTCCTAGCATAATCTGCAAAAAAAGGGCATGCTCAGTATCTTACTAAACCTCCTCCTAAACAAAAACAATGAAACTAATCTGAATATCACTCTTCCTTTTGTAGTTGCTCCACAAAGTAATTACTCAGAATCCGTCCCATTTCTTTAACTATATGGGAGAACATAATATAATTCCAGTTGTACTCCATTATTATCGTCTCAGCAAATAGTTTACTTTCAATCAGGCAAAAATACACAGCCATTCAGATTTACATCTCCAAACAAAAAGTATTGCTCACTGCCTTTTGGAAGAAACAAGGGTTTAAACTCCTAAAGATACCGAATGCTTTTTCCACTTTCACTGGTAGAAAAACATCAAGATTAATAGCACAATCTGTCTCCCCTGGCTTATTCTGAACAGCTGGATTTCAGGAAAGGAAGGAAAGCAGAGTAACAGATCATTTAGTAATAACAAGAAAAGTATAACAAAAGCCACCAAGTAAAAATTGGCAAAAGGAAACAAAGGGAATAATTTAGCAGAACTGCAAAAGCACAGAGCAGAAGAATGAAAACTAACGGGTTTGGGGCAATACTGCGTATAACCTCAGAAAGTGACAAAGCAGGACAAATGAATACATAGAAGAGGGACTAGAGGGCCGGCAACAAAAAAAAAAGAAAAGAGAAAAAATTACTTTCACAAATAGTAATATTAGAAAAAAGTGTTTCCATTAAAGCCTGCCATGTTCCTAGGGCAATCCTCACTGCAGGAAAACAAAATCCCCTTCAGCACAGACACCCTTCCAGAACTTCAACGGACAGCCCTCACATTATATTAGTAAAGGAAGGAAAAATCCCCAAAACGCCATTGTCCTCATTTCACCAGCCCAGAGAAAGACG